TCGCACGCGTTCGCCCACCTTCGTTCACATGCCTGCATGACTTGGACGCATACGTGCTCCCAGTCGTCCTCGTCTATCACGGTGACCCGCGGGTGCACCCATACTCGCGCAGAAGCCTAGTGGTGCCGTTGTCAGACCATGTGATCTGATTGCATGACAATAAGACTTCCGAACACAACCCAGAGATTCCCACGGATCATAGGCACGCTGCACGCCCGCACTCGCGCCTTTCGTTCCTCAAAATGACTCGTAAATCAAACCTAAGTGGACGGGGAAGGCCGTTCTCGTCGCTCATAATCACGTCCACTGACTCCTCGCGTTCTCGCGAATTGATTAATTAAATATTCATCTGACCCGCACAGGTATATTGGTCTGACCGCCCAATTTCCTGCCAAATAAAAATCAAAACGGGTGCGCCCCACAAAAAACCCTACTTACCGCCGCGGGAAAGCCTTCTTGGACAGCTTCGAACGCAAAAATACGACCATCCGAAATATCCAATTCACCCCCTGATTCGTCCGCAGTGACAAACTTACGCGCCGCCGTTCAACCTCCATGAATTACATAACGACAAAACGAAGATGATACGAATGTGTCCTGATTCATGAATCCGGGGACCCCCGCGCAATCTAACGAACCTACGACGACCATCGATCATGATGGAAACGACTGTAATCTACATCCAGATGACCTTGCCATTCCTACGGCATAATGCTCTGAAGCTCTGAAAACCTGGACCCGAAGGGGACAAGAACATCCGAGTCGTTGGTTCGTGTTTCCTCTGTGCATATCATGGGAGACGAACAAGCAGCGGGGCACCATACTTGCGCTCACTGATCGTTTTAGTACATTTCCGACCAAATGTCATCATACATCTTGTGCTTCTACTTGCCGTTATTGTTATCAAAGGTCTTGAACCATGGAATTTATGACGTTTCTGCCACTTACGTTCCTCTCTAGGTTCTTTTGTGCCTCAGGTGTCAGTCCGTGCGTATGGCAGTATACGAGAACTGAACAAACAGGGTCTAATAGAGTGGATTCTATGCGCTTTTATCGCCGTACTTGCTGTCAACTCGCGAACTCGAATGGTTTCACGTTTTGGACCAATTAACCGAACAAAACGGCTTGTGCTTCTAGCGCGTCCCCTTGCAGGCTTTTATAAAAGCCTGGGCGATTCGCCGTCAAACATCAGCTTCCCGCAAACCGTCCACAGTTGAATAGCTTTTCGCTTGGTGATATTAAAATCGTTCACAATGCGTGTCATCTCTTTCGCCTATGCTTTTCTTCTCGTGGCCCTTGCCTCTGTTGCTGCCGCTGCCACTACTCCCACTACCGCAGTTACTCTGTGTCCTACTGCTTTCCAGCCCTGGACCGATATGATCGGTAATCTGACCACACAACTCCAACCCATCAGCAACACTGTCACTGGTGCGTTCATTGCTCCTCTGTTCTGATGTCTCTCTGACAACTATCCAGTCGCTGCCAAGGCTGGCACCCTTGACTTTAGCACCGTCATTAGCGTCGCTGAACAGGCTGTTGCAGCCGTGTTGAGCTTTGCGAAACAAGTAGTCGCCCTCGCCGGTTTCACCACGTTTGTGCAGGCATGTGGCCAGCTGATTTTAGCCGTTATCCCCATATTACTCGTGAGTGCCCTCGTGACATTGTAAATATGACCTGCTGAATAATTGTTTGTTTGATCAGGCGCCGTTCATTGCCGTCGTCCCGGCCGTTGGGACGCTTTTTTCAGTCTTTGGGGTGTGAACAGTTGTAAACTGGTACGATGCGTCAGAAGAAATATTGCCGTGTAAAGGTAGTCACTGTATAGTTGGCATGTTTTTTTTTGTCGTTTCAATTGTCAGTGAGATCGATAGTTGGCGTGTTCTGTCGTTTCAGTAGCCAATGCGATTGTATAACATGTGTTCAGTGTTTACGTCCGGCTGCATAGTATGATTTTGGATTCACAAGTACTGGCCCCGGCCCGTCCACGATAAGGCAGTCGATCTTGAGGCAAATCGTCAATAGACAGTCCGGTAAGGCTACATGCACCTGTCCATCCATCAATGGTGTCAGATGATAGACTCGGACGCTATCGGTCTCAGCACAATCCGGGTCAACAGACCTTCAGGAGCCATGTTTATCATTATCTGTCTTTACAGTAACCCAAGACGTCTCGTTCAGTTTATAGGTCCAAAATGTGAAACGATCCGAGTCAGCGAGTTGATACCAAGTACGGTGTTCCCTGGTGGGAGTACATAGAATTGACCATAAACCCTGTTCGTTCAGTTCTCATACACTGCCTATGATACGCACGGACGAAAAACAAACCAGTGGCATGCATTATGTTACCACGTCGAAATTAGAATAGTTGCTGTATCACCCTGCAGAGATCGGGAGCTCAAAAGCACTAGACGGGGACTGGTATAAGCCATTTACATTTAAACTCTCCCAAACCACTTTAGTGTGTAATCGACCCGGAGGGGACTGTCACATACAGTATAGTTGATACGTGTGGCACGACCCTAGTGGGCCCGATCCAGACTTGCAGATCAGAAGATGCGGCCGTTTTGATCATCCAAAGCACCTGAGCGCTACAATGAGAGAGATCTTGGTTTCCAAAATGAGCTGTCAACCAAGTGTCTCCGAGGAACATCTATATTCGCTCTGCCAGAGTGGTAGACGCGAAGTAACCAACGTCGTCCATGGGATGTTGCGGACCTCGGCAGTTCAACTCCGCTGTGAGCATTCACACCCGATATGATCTTGACTTTATGATCCAAAAGAACCTAGAGTGCATCGTAAGTGGCAGAAACATCGTAAACGCCATGGTTCAAGACCTTTGATGATCATAATGGAAAGCCCGCTATCGGACGTGCTAGAAGCACACAACGTATGATGAGAATTATGTACCAACATGATCAGTGACCACGAGTGGCGCCCCTCTACTTGTTCGCTTCCCATGATATGCACGACGAAAACACGAACCAGCGACCGGATACATACCCACGTATTGCGTCAAAATGAAGGGCCGCCACCAGCGTCCGGAGATCACTGGTCAAATTCGTGCTCCATTCTGCATCATTTGTCCGAGGCCCCGGGCTTCCAGTTTGAGTATCGACCGAACCAAGTACCCGGCACAAATCTTGTTGCAGCTAGCTGTAAAAGTCTAGGCCAGATCTTTGCTTCGTCGACTTGGAATTTGTGTTTATAAGGAAAGGCAGAATAAACAATACAAAGCTCAAAATGGAGACTGACCCTACAAGGTATCCGGTTACGGCACTTAGAGAATGCCGTTGTAAGCACGTACAACCACGCTCCTCACCGCTGAGCGTTGTCAGCGATGAGCACTGCCGAGTGCTTACCCCATCGTTTTCATCGATGGCTCTTTCGCATCCTGTGAATAAGTGGCGTACGACGTAACCTACATTTTGGGGTTAGTTTTATTCGGTTCTGCGAAGCGAGGTGGTTGATTATCTGCCGAGAATTTTGCGCCTATGCTAGGCTTTGCTAGCTGAGTGTGTCATCTTGAAACAAAAGAAGTACCGAATTTAGTATCGCTGATTCTGATTCCGTCGCTGAAAAGGTCCTATGTAGTCATGGTGGCGAAGCGACACACGCCTTGCCTTGATAGTATGTGTGCTTCTTGTTATTTGGTACTATCTTGGATGAAGAAAGCAAATTTGATTTGGTTGGCATCGTTCAGCCTTGCGGGATCTGCCGGTCGCGGAGTTGAGTCTAAGTCCGAGTGGCGGAATCCACAAATCTCGCTGGATGCGCCTTCGAAGGCTTCTTTTGGCAGGGAAAGCAGCCTGCTATGTATTATATAGATAGTAAAACCTCATCCTTAAGACCACGTCAAAATCGTATAACGCCAGTCCACAACCATTACCACGAGAGTATACAAAAAAACGAAACAGGACACCAATCATCCAAAAGTATCCAAGCGAACGAGAGAAAGACACATGTTGGATCGTTCATACAGGGCGAACAAGACCGAAAAAGAACATGACACACCAAAGATACAATCATCATTGTGCATCGTGAAAGCGCCCCAGAAGCGACCGTCACGTTGGCAGATGTACCCATGTACGAGGTCGAGGAGACGGCCACATTGAAGTACGGCCCCCGTAACTGAGAGTCTGCAGGACGTTCGACGCCAAGTAGGGTGGGGGAAAAGATCTCGGAGGTGTAGGTCGTCCGTCGGATAGGGCGCGCGCTCGACGTCGATGTTGGGGTTCGACCCTGCGATCAACATGGATGCATCGGGGAGGAGAGGATCCGGTCGAGTGATACATCCTTGCGATGTTGGCCGAACCAGGACCGGCGAGAACCCTTGGGCACGCTAGAGTTGTGGATGGTAGGGATGCCGGCGGGAACGACTGCTTTGCAAACTCGGTGGTTCCGTTCGTGGTACCGATTATGACGAGCATGGTCCGTCGGGACTCGGGAGAGGGAATGAACTGCCCTATGGTGCCGCCCACGAGCATTCGTCGTCCTCTTCGTACGGGCGCTACGAACCGTCCTGAGGTTCGAACAATCGGGATCCCAAAGAACAAGCATGTGGCAAAGGACCAACTCGCGAACGCACGCTGGGCAACTCACTTGAGGAGAGGTTCACCTGTACGAGCAGCCTGAGCTTGCCGTGTGAGCGTAAGTACGAGTTGAGAACAGAGTACCGCCACCACTCGGATAGATTGGAGGGGTCATATTTCCATAAGCAGACATGGAAACTACCCCGAGTCTGCTCTACCGTCGCTCCTGCCTCGATGTGCATGTCCCTCGCGATACGCCGAGCACAAACTGGCATCGTACACGCACGGCCCAGGGAAAATCCCTCATACCTCGTGTGAGATTCAGACCCTGATGATGATGCTCCTTGGCAAAGTCACGGTGTTGCAAAAGACTACCTCTCCGCCAGACGCGTCAATCCCATGGCCAAGTAGTGCCGGCAGATCTGAGCAGCTCAGTATTTGGACAGGTATCCCGGCGTTAAATTGTTTATATGCCCCACCGCGAGATTCGAACTCGCAGCCGAAGTTTGTGCATCAAACAAGTTGCTCTATCCAACTGAGCTAGCCGTCGCTCTCCCAGAGGCGTCAATCCCATCGTCGAGTGTAGGCATAAACTCAACGCGCAGACCTCGTTTGGTCGTTTGTATGCTATGAATTCCTCATCGAGCATCTCACTGGGAGACGTGTGTCTTTGCATGCGCGGCGCTTTGCTGGATCGAGGAGAGCTTCCAAAAGTCAATGGTCAGTGCATTTTCCCTCAGACTTTGTTGAACACTCTGAACGAGACACTCCGATTTTCGTGTGGTTGTTTGGCACACGTCACACGTCTTTTCCATGTCACCTTGTCTTGACCATGTTCCCGCATGGATCTTCATCTCGGACGTGGCTGCTTTGCGCCTTTCATTTACATGTGATCTCGTTGCAATGCCACCACACGACACGGGACCTACACGACATGCAGCGCTCCGACGCACTGCCACGTGGGCGGCCTAAATCATACCAACGACGGAGATGATTTCAGTCACGTCGTTCCCCCACATCATGGATCTTTGTCAATGATCTGAATTTGCCGATTCATGTCCACTCCACTTCGAAGGTCACTCGTTATCGACTTGATTCCGGCTCAAAACCATAAATCATAGCAAGCCGTCCGAGTTCACAACTCTAACAGATGAACAGGTAAATGGAGACCAGTTCATCCGCGACGGGGTACTATGCGACGCAGTTTGATTGACCGTGCCAAACAGCGTGCCGACATCAAGGGCAATGTTCTCCCTTGACTTGGCAGAGGTTGGATGGTAAGAAAAGCGTCAAAACAAGAGTGCAATCGGCGTACCAAGCTGGTCGCTGATGGACTCAAGTTGTGTGGTCACGTTCTCGAGTGTGCAGATCAAGTGCATATGATGGCCTGGAATCGGATGTCAGCATCACCGCTGCCAGGACATGAACCCGTACCGCCGCTCCATCACCTGAGGCTGGGAACACGTGAAGGAATTGCGCTAGTGGTTGCAGTAGGAGGAAAGCAGGGATGAAAGAGGGGATGCGCACTTGAGCGAAATGTAACGAGTGAGTGGCCCCGAAACAGCTGCGGTGGTTTGCGGGCAGTTGATATCGGTGGTTGTGAAATACCCTAGATTCTATAGGTCTCGCAAAGCTCATGACCATGGCTGTCTTCGCCCTCGATTACGGTTGAATCAGTGATCAATGCGATTACGTTACATGTTTAACTTGGTCAAGCGCTACGATGAGGGGTCAACTGTTTTTCGATTTATCAGTTTGGTGACATTGCAACAGGCACCCCTGCCAAAGTAGTGACGATATCAGATCCTGAACACCTGAACCGACAATCAACACTATGGATTGCTGAGAAGAGAGGATAACAACCATCTTCGACGAGCGTTGCATATTAGAAGTACTATGGCAGATGGAGAAAAGAGAAGCAGGCTGAGGAAAAAGAAAGCCACAGGAAAACGGAGACTGAAATGCTATCTACACTCGACGATCTCACGTGTTCAGGAAAACTTGAAAAAACTACAGACTCAAGTGCACGGGCCCACTCAATTGAAGTTGTTCGCAACACAACCGGCATACTTCGTGAAAATTTCAAGCACTCTTAGTAAATAAACACTAGAAAGGAAAGAACGTCCGTACGAGAACTTAGGCCGCTGCGATGCGTCGGAGATAGTACGTGAAAATCGACTTCATCAAGGCTTTCGCCAGTCGGGCGCCCGACTGATGAAAAATGCAATTATTGAGGAATTTTCACTTCCAATTTCACGAAGACACTCACGCCACCCAGAATGCAAAGGGTCTTTTCAATCGAGTTCATCCGGCGTGCGTGAAGTTTCGTATCAGTGGTCGAACTACTGCATCAGTCTTATCAACGATGCCAGAGGTGGTGTCATCATCAGGGGTGTCGGACTTGACAGCGGCTGCCAGTGGATACTTAGTTGTCAGAGAGGCATCAGAACACGGGAGCAATGAACCCTACGAGTGAGCTGGTTGCTGAGGGGCTGGATTTGTGTGGTCACTGAGTTGGTAGTGGGAATAGTAGCAGCAGCGACAGTGACAAAGCCAATGTTCACGAGGAGCAAAGCAGGGGCGAAAGCGAAGGCGCGCATTGTAAACGATATGATAAAGAGTTGAATGCCGCGAAACAACTATTCAGCGGTGGTCACAGTTTGTGGGAAGCTGATGTCTGAGGGCGGACTGTCCTTTTTATAGGTCTCGCCAAGGCGGTACCAGCATGTAGAGATCAGGACTCACTGAACGGCATCTAACGCATTTCGTCCGAGCTCCGAGTAGCGCAACCTGACAGCATGACCCTCAATGACGGTATACCATCCACTGGCACTATCCGCTCTGAGCATTCGCACCCGATGGTTGAATTTACTCATGATCCCAAAAGAACCTAGAGTGAAACGTAAGTGGCAGAAACGTCATACATGCCATGATTCTAGACCGCTTGATAACAATAATGGAAAGTCCCTAGTGCATGTGCTAGAAGCACAAGACGTCCCTCTTCCGTCCTTATCGAGCACCTCCTGGGGAACGGGGAGACATTTTGAGGCTCAGAAGGAAGGTGCACAGCTAGCACTGAACAAGACTGGTCGAGATGATAGGACAGCGCGAATCATGGTTGCCACAAGGAACGGGATGGTCGCTGCACTTTTGGAAAGGAAAATCGGGAAAAGAGGAAGAACGAGTGCACCGGGTAGGTAGTTTGAACTGGGTGTGGGTTGGGATGTCGTCCTTGCCGCTTCACCTATGGTCGGGTCGAGCGAACAGATATGACAAATTTTAAACAAAACAAGGAGCAAATTTCACCGCCACCGTCGTGCCAGACCACTCTCACCGCTGGCGCTGGCCTGCGGCCACCCAACAGACCACGCAAAGGCACACCGTCCCACACGCCCATTCACACTTTCCCGTTCAACAACGCCGCCTACACCAAACCCACCAATCTCCGCGCCAAATACCTCAAGACCTCAAGACCCCCTCCGCCGTGAACGTGAACGTGAACGCGCTGACGCCTCGCGCGAGAGAAGTAGACCCCAACGTGTACGTGCTCGCCCGTTCCGAGTGAGTGAGGCCTCACCCGTCTTGATAGACACCTTGATTGAAGCACTCCTCGCCCCTGCCTCTCCGCCACTAGTAAATACTGCGCCATCATGGCACTCGACATGCGTGTCCCTCGCCGGTACACTGAACACGAACTGGCCTCGTACACGGATCCACGCAGTGGGCTCAGCTAGGTCTCATGACACACCTGGTGCGCTCTCTCTCCCATCGCGCGTCTAGACCCTGACACCGCTCCCGGGCCCTTGCAGTGTCACGCCGTTTCAAAAGCCTACTTCTCCAGACGCGTCAATATTCCCATCGACACGTAGCGCCGACGGATCCGAGCTGCTCCGGGACAGGTTTAGTCGTCTGTATGTTATATTCCTGCCTGACTCATATTCTCAGACGCCTCCGAGAGTCATTCAATCGTGCTCGTCGAAAGGGCGTATCGCTCTGCCAGAGGTGTCCATCTCGTCAAGTACCAGTGGGAGATTCGATACGCATGCATCTGGTCGTTTGGTCGTTTGTACTATACTTGTACGTGAGTTCGCTATCGATCTCAAACGTGTGTCTTGGCATGCGCGGCGCTTCGCCGCATTGAGCACAGTTTGCAAAGTCGATGGTCAGTCTGTTTTTCCTTGGACGCTGTTGGACATTGAACACACCGCACGAGACCCTCCGATTTAGTGCGGTTGCTTGGCAGACGTTATACATATTTTCCATGTCACTTTGTCTTGACCATGTTCCTGCATGACCTTCTTCTAGGCTGTGGCCCCTTGGCGCCTTCGTTTACCTCTGATCTCGTTTCATTTCCACAACATGACATGACGGGGCTTATGCAACATGCAGCACCGCACGCCATTTTGGAAACCCAATTCATACTAATGACGGAAATGGCTTCAGCTACGTCGTCCCCCACGTCATGTACGTTTGCACTAACTTTGATTGGAAGAGTCATCTTCACTGCAAAAAAGGTCAGAGTTTACAACTCCAATGGATGAACAGATAAACAGAGACCAGCTCCTCCATGGCGGGCTGAAAACGCGACGTAACTTATTGAACCGTGCCAAACAGTGTACCGACATGTCCCCCTTGAGTCGGCGGAGGCTGGATAATGATAAGAGAAGCATCGAAACACGGATGCGATCTGCATACCAGGCTGGTCTGATGGACTCATGTTGTGTCGTCACGTTCTCGAGCGCGCAGATGATGTCCCGGAGTCTGATAAAAATGTCAGCATCATCGCTGCCTGGACCTGAACCCATACCACTGCTCCCATCACCTGAAGCCGGGAACACTTGGGGGAATTGCGCTAGTGGTTGCAGTAGGAGCAGGAGAAAGAACGCTAATAGTCGCCAGGAGGAAAGCAGGGATGCGAGAGAGGAGGCGCACTGTGAGCGAGACGTGACGAGTAAGTGGTGTCAAAGCAGCTGTGGTGGTTTTCGGGAAGCTGGTGTCTGAGGCTCTCAAATGCCCTTCTATACTTCTTGCAAGGCTCGTGAGTCGTGATCATGGCTATCCTCGGCGCGAGTGTTATGGCCTTACGGTGAAATGAGCGATTACATTTACACTACATGATTAACTTGGTCGAGCGCTACGATGAAGGGTCGACTGTATTTCTCAAGATATACTACGTTGGTGGCATTGTCAACGGGCACCCCCGCCAAAGCAGTGCCGACATCTGATCCTCAACACCTGAACCGACAAGCAACATCATGGATTGCTGAGAAAGGAGGAAAACAACCATCTACGACGAGCGTTTCATGTTAGGAGTACAACAGCACGTAGACAAAAGAGAAGCAAGCTGGGGAGAATTTGGAGAAAGAAAGAGGGGAACGGAGACTGGAATACTATGTTCAATCGATCATCGCATGTACTCAGAAAAAGAGTGCATGGACTCAGTTGCACGGGCCCTCTCAACAATCAATAGTTTCCCTAGAAATGCGATGATTCTTAGTAAAGAAAGACTAGAAAAGAAGGAACGTCCGTACCTCAGATCCGAGATCGCAGG